AAAGGAGTAATTCTTTATCAAACCAATAAAAATTTTTTTTTTATTGAAGAAACTTAAACCCTGACTAATAATTGACTATTAAATCTGTGGACTAATGGTCGATTCCACGTTAATTTGCTAGACATTCAACAAATATATTATACCCTATACCAGTGGCATTTGAATATACCATTGTTACGTATTAGAATTTCGAAAGGTCTGAAAGCGAGTTAACTGATAATTTTAATTTAGTAGTTAAATTGTGCTTTGGATTTAGTGTTTAAATAAATGCCGATATATAGTCAGTAAATATATATTAATTATTTGCTTTGTAGTTTGCACTTCTACAAATTACTATCTTTTCAACTTTCTAAATACCGATTTATATTTATGTTTGTGCACAGAGCTTAAATCAATTTTATACACGCTACAAACTATATAAAAATAAATTAGACCCCTAGCAATTTTTTAATTTTCGTGAACTAACTTCCTTTAGATATTCTGTCTAAGTTAGTACAAAATAAAGAAGCATTGCTTAGCGATATAGAACTTATTTTAGGCCTCTACCGATATGAAAGGTTTCGTAAAGATAAGCTTTCAGTTGGTGTACTTTTGCCATTAAATATATCTATCTATATATATACTGTATTTGTTTTATTTTGGAAATCAACACCGATCATATTCAGTATTTAATAGCATGAAATTATATCTATATAGCACATGAACATTTCGATAACAGATCTTTAACACTGCATTATCAATCTTTGATTTTTATTCTTTTTTCTTGTGCATTAAAGAAGTTTTTTTTTAAGCTTGTCACGTGACGTCTTTCTTGTCACGAACCAAAGTAGAAGCAAAGGCAGTAGAAAGCAACATTTTTCGGTTAAAATGCTCAGTGTTGGCATGAACAGACACTCTTAATAGATTTAATTAGTTTTTAAACATAAAACGAACCTAAATATACTTGAAGTTTAGCTTTAAATATAAAAAAAAAGAAATTCTAGGCAAAAAATATACAACTTCAGTTTTTCTACAGAAGTAAGTATTATTCAAGCAGAGATGCTAGCTTATAGAAGATTTTATAAATGTGGCGTAAAAAGTAGAATAAAAAATATACAACTTAGTTTTTCTACAGAAGTAAGTATTATTCAAGCAGAGATGCTAGCTTATAGAAGATTTTATAAATGTGGCGTAAAAAGTAGAATAAAAAATATACAACTTAGTTTTTCTACAGAAGCAAGTATTATTCAAGCAGAGATGCTAGCTTATAGAAGATTTTATAAATGTGGCGTAAAAAGTAGAATACAAAATCTCCGTTAAAAGCTACTTATGTTAATATTTGAATTTATAAGACCAGCAGCAAGAGGTTTTACAAATTTTGAAAACAAGAAACTCAATAGGAATAAGAAAAAGACGGTAGTTATCACCTTGGCCCTCATGGCCAGGTGGATAAGGCGCTCGACTCACAATCTGAGGGTCGCGGGTTCGAATCCGCATCCCACCAAACATGCTCGCCCTTTCAGCCGTGGGGGCGTTAT